CAGTCTGTAAAGGCTCATATTGAGGGTCAAAAGGGCAGCCTCCTTCGCTTTCCACTCAAATATGACACACACACAGGATTGAGGCAGGTTTTTACAAAAGGTGCATCTGCACTGTAGAAATAATGCAGTTTGACACCAATCTTAAGGGCTGTCGCTCCATCCTATGGAATCCTGGGATTTGTGGGGCCTCACCCCACAAAAAAGCTACAAATCCCAAGATTTTGTACAGTGGCGCTGTGACAGTTAAAGTGGTGTCAAATTGCATTTCTTTGCAATTTAAATTGCATTTCTTTGGGTGTAGATGCAGGAAGGCGGAAGGGAAGGAGGACAGAGCCATGGAGGCAAAGGGCCTTTGCAGACTGCCAGAAATAGTGCAAATTGAGTCCACTTTTAGGGTTAGGGTTAGGGAATCATGGGAACTGTAATTTATTGTGGCACCAGAGATCTCCGACAGAGAAGGCTCAATGTCTCAGAAAAAAAAAAACAATTCCCATGGTTCCCTAGCACTAACCTTAACCCTTAAAGTGGACTCAATTTGCACTATTTCTGGCAGTCTGCAAAGGCCCAAAGATACCTCCAAGAGACAGAGATTTGGGGCACTGGGGTCCCCCACTGTTTGGGGCAGATGGCAGTGGCTCTAGGGAGGAAGCCTATAAATCCCAGCTATCATTCCATGCCTCCTGCTCACAATGTCTTTTCCCTCCAGTGACATTGCCCTTGTGTTGTTATTGACACGCTGCTGAGCTATATTTATCATTTACTCCTAGTGCGTCTCAGGCAATCAGGTGGGGGTGAGGGTTTCAGAGAGAGGGGCTGCTTTTGCCTTCCTCTGAGGCTGAGAGAGTGTGGTTTTGCCCAAGATCACCCAGTGGGTTTCCATGGTGGGATGGGGATTTGAACCCCAGTCTCTAGAGTCATAGTTCAGCGCTCCAACCACAAGACCACACTTGCAGCAAATTATTAAAAACTATCCCAGTCAAATCCTAAAAGCCCAATGGAATAGGAATGTTTTTACTTGACAGCATGTAGGGTCTCATTTTAGGTTATTCAGGCGGTGAAAATAATCCAGGTTGAATCTTTGTTGTTCAGATCTGGTTAAGTTTTTTTT